GTCTGCCTACTTAGCTCCCTTTCTTTGGTAAGCTTGTTTTGAAGCTTGAAGACTGGAATTGATTTCTTTTGATTAGGGTTTTGCTTTAGGGCTTTGCTTAGAGGTAGATTAGGGTTTTGTTTTAGGGTTAGGATTAGGGAGAGCTTAGATAATTTCTTCCTCAAGCATAGATGGTATTTCATTTCTTTTATCTGTATGACTGCAGTTTGCTGTTTATTGCTTGATAGCTTGTTGTTTATTTTTCAGTATGATTACTGTTATTTCATGACTGGCTTGAGGTCGAGACGAGCTTGTGGAGGCTGAAGCCCCACACACATTTCCTCCCTCACTTGCATTGCATGCATTTTACTGTAAAGCTGATGCTTTGTCTGTTTTGGTGTATCATTGACATGATCCCTTAGGACTCTCATTTCCTTTGATAAGGATTTGATGATAGACTTTTAGGTTGAAACCTATGCATGACAACTTCTAGGAGTTCCCTGTTCAAACCTCAACCATAGGATGAATCCATGTCATGATAACAGTAGGACTTGATAGTATCCCTCCTAGTTGGGCCTGTTCTCTTCTCATCTCAAAACAGTTTAAGATACAGTAATCATGAATGATTTCTTTCGTACGTTACGAGCCTTAAGCTATCTGAGAAAGGATTGTGGGAGAGTTCCTTTTCCACAGTCTGGATGTTTAGTATGGTACCCTTTGGGGTGACATGCGACGCATTCACTCTCAGGTCATAGTCTCTAGTGCGGTTGAAATCGCAAACACAATAAAAAACACTTCTTTCAAAACAGGAAATAAACCGTAGTTTCCCGAACTACGTGAGCTCTGATCTCTCATGCCTGTTGAGAGTACGTAGGCACAAGATGGCGAAGTCTTGGCGAGCTACCTTCCCCCATAACCTTTCGTAGGCCGAACTACGTTGACTCTGATTTCTCACTCTCTGATGAGAATACGTAGGCATAAAGTGCGACGCTTTGCCGAGTCATTTTTCTTTTCTTTTTTAGCCAACCTTGATAGGTAGATAGATTATAACCCACCCGTCCAAGTAAACAAACAAGCGTGGATCCCGTCGAGTACGACAGACGTGAGGGGTGCTAATACCTTCCCCTTGCGTAACCGACTCCCGAACCCAGACAATGGTTGCGACGACCTTGTCTTACCCTTTTTCGTCAGGTTTTTCCGATCGTTTCCTTTCCCGCTCTGAGGGATAAATAACGAAAGGTGGCGACTCTTCTGTCATGCCGACACCTTATTTTCGCGCAAGCGATAGATTGCACTTGCAAAAGCAGCAGAAAATGAGTTTTAAAAATTAGTTTTTCATAATAACTTATGCATTCAAACACCAAATGATCATGTAAGAAAATAAGCACGAAAATCACAACAATTATCATCAAATAAACACCAGATACAATCCAATTTCAAATAAAATGGATCAAGAAACACACAAGTCATAAGAGATCACATGGTGAGAAATGTAAATTAAGCTCAAACAAAGTTGATTCAAGAATTACCAACAAATTTGAATTTGCTTCAAAATCAACTTCAAAGAATGAGTTCCAAAACTTATATTCAAATATGACTTGGGAGTAGTATAGATGAAAAAATGAAAAAGTTTAGCTGAAAAATTGACAAAATTGACAAAAATATGACTTGCTGAATGACCATCTATTTATGGATGATGGTGGATCCAATTTCACTTAGGGTATGTTTGATTGTGAGAGAAAATGAGAAGAGAGAAAGATGTGATAAAGAGTGTGAAACAGAGAGAAGTGAATGAGAAATGAGTGAGAAATAGAATAGATTCAATGAATTGTTTGTTATAAGAGAAGTATGAGAGAAATAGAAAGAGAGAAGTGTAATTATTTTTGAAAGGACAAAAATATCCTTAAATTATAAAAATTAATATTACAAAATTTTGTATTATTAAAGAAATATATTTTCTTATCAACATCTATTTAAATATGTATTTTAATTAAAATTAATAATTTAATAAATTTAATTTAATTAATTGTTTTATTATTTCAATTATTTAAAGTAATTTAATTCATAAAATTTATTTGTTTTTATAAGAAAAGGAACAGGTAACATGTAACATAATGATACAATAAATTTAACATTGGCTAAATAAGTGTAAAATGTGATCTAGGAACATCAAAATCACAATCTTTTGAAGTATAATTAGAGAAAGAGAAAAGAAACAACAAGTAAAAATAAAGGCATGATTGGAAACAAAAAGAAACAAACATTTCTCTTGTCTTTCTTCTCTATAATGAGAAGAAAGCAAAATATGGTAGAACCCATGTATATTTGTTCTCTCTTCAACATTTCTTTGCACTACCAAGCAAGAAAAGTGAGTCTTTTTCTTTGCAATCTCTATCTTTGATACTTCTCTCTATTGTTCCAAACACAACCTTAGCAAAATTACACTCACTTAGTCGTTACCCAAAGCTCTTTATTGTTTAAACCAATAAAGTAATTTCAACAACAAAAGTGTAGCTACTCTCTTACTATTTAAATATATTATTTTTTTAAAAATTATCTTTCTTGTAGTTTCACACGGTTTGATTTATTTTAAATAATAAAAATTACCTTCATAAAAAAAACTAACTTTTATTTATAATTAATAAATTAATTTAAATTATAATGTAGTACTCCTTAATTCTATTTATTAAATAGAGTATAAGTTACTTATTTTAATTTAAGTATAGTTTGTTTAGATTTTTTTTTAAATAGATAGTTTAATAATAGTTGTGTACAAAATAATTTAAATAATAATTTTTATTTAAAAAAAATAAATGTTTTAGTTAATATTTAATTGTCACTTTATTATATAATTTTATATTCAATATTTAATTATCATCTCACTATTGTTTACAATATTTTTATCAATTTAAAAAATAAATTTATAATTAATATAGAATTTAGTTTAAATATTTTAGATTTTTTAATTGATAGGCTTATTGGTTCATGTTATGACTTACTACTCAAATAACTTGTAGATATTATAATTAAGAAATGTAAAATAACAAGAAAGTTAAATGTAAATGCAGTAAATTCAGCAAAAAGTAAAATAATTATTGTTTAAAATATCATTTGAATCGATTTTTTAAAGAAAAAATTCATCTGATCTCAAGGTAAATCAGACGAGGTCTAATTTGATTTTAGATGACTAATTTAAACATATATTTTAAAAATATAATATTTGTTAATATTTAATTTTATATTAGTTTTTGATTTGTTTTAAAGGTTAAATATTTTAATTTAAATAGACTCAAATTTAAATACATTTATATTGCACAATAGTGATAAAAAATTATATGAAAACAATTTTATTAAAAAAATCTGGTAAAAATAAAAAATCTAAAATAACTTTTTATGATAAAAAGTTACAAAAATATAACGGCTCAATTTACCTTAACAAATGATTTTGTTTTTAAAAAAAAAACTATTCAGTAACAATTCAGTATGGTTCATAATTCAAACTCGTGTACTAAATCAATAATGTGGTTTAGTTCGATTATGAACAAATTAAAATAATTTTATTTAATTTGAATGAATTTTTTATTATAATTTGATTAGGTTCGATTTCTTCAATAAACTTTACCTTAAACAACACTAAGCGAATATAATAAGGGTATCACGTAACTTTTTAAGGTAAATGTTTCTATCTACCTAGTACAAAATTTCTCCAAATCATACACAACTATAACATAAGTTATAGTTGAAACATTAGCACGTAGTGCAAGTCTAGAGTGATCTTAAGAGAGGGATGTGAATTAAGTATTTTGGTCGGTTTTTGATTTAATAAAATTATGCTTTTAACTTTTTGATTTGTTGATGATTTAGAAAGTATTAAAGTGCGGAAATATAAAGAACACGACGATGTATTCTGGTTTTCCTCAGAATCCAAGAGTACATTCAGTCTCTTTCCAACATGTATGAGATTTTAATATTGTTAAATCTTATGGATAAGACAATCATAGTCTTCCTATACAAGACTCTAACACAATCACCAATAACAATCCTCTCGTTATTTGCAACACACTTATTTTCAACAATCATGGACAATATATAGGTAAAGGCTTCTACAGATATAATCCATTTTTCTATAGATCCCTCCTAGTGCCAAATAATCCTTGATACTTGAAAATTTGTAACAATTGCAATAGATTGAAATAAATGAAGTTTGTAGAATGATTAAGACTTATTCAAAAGAATAAAGTCTTCTTCTCTTTCAAATATGAAGATTCAATAAAATATACTCTCTAAATGCTCAATGATACTTTTGAAATGATATGAAAATTTTCTCAAAAAGCATCCGAATATGAAAGTTCGGTTGAAAATAATGTAGAAAAAATTTGTGAAATTTTTGAAAGAAATCACATTAAAATGAAAATTGAAAATCAATTTAAAGACTAAAAAAAACTCTTCAAAAATCATGACAATGATTGGTAAAAAAGTTGACTGAAAATGAATGTATTTAAAATGAAATGTTGTCATGATATGGTTTTGTGAAAAGATGTTTACGATTAAGCATTTTTCAAATTTGACTCAGGTACAATCGATTGCACAAAAATGACAGTCGATTATGTGAAATAATAACACTAGAAAATCTGAAAAAAATTTCCTAATGCAATCAATTGCACTATAAAAATGTATATTTTTCAAACTGGCAGTAACTAAACCCTCGTTATTTTTCAAACTGGCAGTGACTAAACCAATATTTCTAAGATGAAACAACCCTCGTTATTTTCGCTTTGTTTTCATTAAAAGCACCAAATTCTGAAGTCTTCTAACAAGAAAATGGATCAAACAAGTATAAATATTACACATGATGATTGGATTGGGTTCAATGTGACTTTGAAAAAATATAAATGGTTTTTACATATCAGTAACGAAAATCACAAATTCTTATTTCATATTTTAGAGACAAACAAAAATGCAAACAATACATTGAATATTAGGTCACAAGACATCAAAACAAAACTAATTATTTGCAATTATCAAGCAGAATACTTTAACAAAGAATTGCTTTCAATTTCCTCCACATAACTGGTAGAGCCAATATCAGTTTCAGTTTCCTTTGATCCAGTATCAAGATTCTCTTGAATTGTTTCACGTGGATATAGCACAGGCTTTGGAGGCATTTCAATATTTGCAATATCTCCTTCAAGCATCTCCACCACTTTGCTCATTGAAGGTCGATCAATAGGTTTTAGCTGTATACACCAAAGAGCAACCATGAACATTTTCTTCAAAACATCATTAAATTCTTCGGTGATAAAATCTTCCATTTCTTTCTCCCTATTTTTAACCAATTGCTCATAAATCCAAAAGGGAAAATATAGTTGACTTGAATGCTCAGCGTGTGAATTCAAATTTCTTCTCCTACTAGCCATTTCAATCAAAAGCATTCCAAAGCTATACACGTCGGCTTTATGAGATATTCTTCCAATATTTTGGTAGAACAATTCTGGAGCCATGTATCCAATTGTTCCTCTTGCAGCTGTCAAAGTGGCAATACTCTTATCAATAGGATAAAGCTTTGCAAGACCAAAATCTGAAACTTTTGGGACAAAATTTTCATCAAGAAGGATGTTATGAGGCTTAATATCAAAATGCAAAATTTGCATATCACAACCTTGATGGAGATAAGAAATTCCACGTGCTACTCCTAGAGATATCTCATGTATTTGGTTGTAAGTTAAAGATATAACTTCTTCTTTGTTGAAGATATATTTATCAAGAGAGCCGTTGGGCATGTACTCATAAACAAGGGCACGTTTTAATCCTTCAACACAATATCCAACGAGTCTTACCACATTTGAATGGTATATTCTTCCTATTGTTGCAATTTCACTTATGAATTCTTGCCCATTAGCATTTGGTTTTATCTTCAACATCTTTATGGCTACAAATGGTCCACTTATTAGCTTACCCCTATACACGTCTCCATAGCCTCCTTCACCCAATTTTACCTTGAAACCCTTTGTCATCTGCTTTATCTCTTTATATGAATACCTTATTGGCGTGAGAGTATTACCTTGCAGAAAACCTTCAATATTTTCGTATATCGATGAATGTCTTCTTCGATATGTGTAGATCAACAACGTAGAAAAAAATATGATGCCAAATATAATCCTAACGGTAACGAATGGGAGAACGTATCTTCCTGTAACTTTTCCTGCGATTATGTAATCATTTGATATTGTATTGCTTAACTTATTCACGCCTGCGAACTCCCGAAGTCCTACAATACATGACATATAATTAATTGGTCATAAAAAATGAAAAAAATTTATAATTATTTATCATTCTAAATACAACCTCCGCCTCATAATAAGTGTTTTAGTTAAGCTCTGCGCGACTGTTAAAAAAATAATTAAATGTGCTGATTTTAATGATAAAATTAATATTTTTTTACTAACATACCCTTATTTATTATAATTAGTGGAATAATTGAAATACGTTAAAGTTAATAAATAGGGATATAGTAGTGGAAAAAATAATTGTTGATATTTGTATATATAGTGTTAAGAATATTTGTATATAGAATATTCTCACATCGACTATATCATGTAATTAGTTGTAATCTCTCTATATATAATAATGTCTCCATAGTGCTTTTCAAAATACACGGTTTATTCATATGACTTTTAGTCTCTTGTATTTTAACGTGGTATCTAGAACCTGCTAAGAGAAAATTCTTTCTTTGTCGTGCTTTATCCGGTTGACCCACTGTCTTCCGGTGAGATTTTTTTTTTTTTGCAAAGCGTGTTGTCACTTCGGTTTGCCTCTCACTTTTTAAAATTCTTTCGTAACCACTCTGCCACTGATGCTACTATTTCGACGACGTTTTGGAAAGCCGGTCCCACCATCAGTTTTCAATATTCTCCGGTCATAACCGCATAGCCGTCGTCCGCCGTCGTCACTACTATTCCCGGTGACCTTCCGACAAACTTTTTCACAGGCAGAAACCTCCGCACACGCCACCTCTGTCTAAGTCTCCGTGCATGGGCATCACGCGCTGTCACCTGAACCGCACGTGACAGCACGTCCGACGGCCGATTGCGTCATATTTTCTCTCTTCAGATACTCATGACTACTCTTCAGAACTTTACGCCAAACTACGATGATTTCCTCAGGTGGTATAAGAATTATCAGAACTCAGATTCTACTGTTACGATAACACGCACTGATAATTCATCTGTTTGCCTCTCTCAATCATCTCCTCTTCGACCTTGGATCCTTGATTCTGGTGCGTCTGATCATGTTACTAGTAATAAAAATATTTTCTCTTCCCTTTCTACCTCTGATTTCTTACCTACTATAAATTCTGCCAATGATTCTCAAACCCAATTCGAAGGGATTAATACTATTCAAACTCTAACTTCTCTCTCTATTACTTTTGTCCTCTATAATTGTCCATTTAATTTACTTTTAGTCAGTCGTTTAACTCGTTCTCTTGATTGTAGTGTCACCTTCACTAACAATAATGTTACCCTGCAGGATTGGAGTTTGGGACGGACGATTGGCGTCAGATATAAGTCTCAAGGCCTTTATTACCTCTCATTGTCATCTTAGACATGCTCAGCCAAAGATTCTCCACTCACTATCCATGCTCAGTTAGGTCATCCCAGTCTCCAAATTATATAAGTTGGTGCAAATTTATCAAAGATATCTAATTTACACGGTGAGTCATGTTAGTTAGGGAAACACACTCGTAGTCGATTTCCCAATCGAGTCAACAAACGAGCTTCGTCCCCTTTTGCTTTAGTTCACACCGATGTTTGGGGTCCCTCGCGTACTGTCTCTACTTTTAAGTCTAGGTATTTTGTCACCTTTATTGATGATTTTTCACGTTGCACGTGGTTATTTTTAATGAAGAATATATCTGAATTATTGTCTATTTTTGAACAATTTTATCGAGAAATAAGAACTCAATTCGGTGTGTCTATTCGTACCTTAAGAAGTAAAAATGCCCGTGAATATTTATCCCAATAATCTCAATTGTTATGTCACACAATGGTATTCTCCATCAAACATCTTGCCCTCACACACCTCAACAAAACGGTGTAGCCGAACGCAAAAATTGACATCTCGTAGAAACCACTCAGATCCTACTTTTCCATGGTAATGTTCCTGTTCGGTTTTGGGGGGACACTGTGCTAACGACATGTTACCTTATAAATCGCACGCCCTCAGCTGTCCTTAATATTAAAATCCCTCATTCAATCCTTTTTCCTAATTTTCCACTTCACCCAATTCCTCCTCGAGTCTTCGGGTCTACATGTTTTGTACACAATCTCTCCTCTGGTCTTGATAAACTATCATCTCGATCACTAAAGTATGTCTTTCTTGGTTATCATTGATCCTAAAAAGGTTATCGTTGTTATTCACATACTCTACAACGATACCTCATATCGGCCGATGTTACCTTCTTCGAGTCTATTCAATATTTCGAGTCCAACCAAGCAACTCCAGAACCCCTTCAGGAAAGTATTCCCACACCTCTTCCAGAAGTATCATATTTCATTGTCCCCCATCATTCTAAGGAACCTAGCCTACTAGATAGGCTTACAGTTGACCCCTAACTTCTCGCCCACTTTAAACATATCAGCGTCGTCAACCAATGTATGTCGTATATGTTCTTGAGATCGTACCTGTTCCTGAGGTCGAACCTATTCCTGAGGTTGTACCTCTCCCAGAGGTCATTGCAGACTCTCCTCCGACGCTCTCACCATCACCGAATCTGATCTTGCCACTTGAGTCTGATCTTTCGATTGCCCTTCGAAAAGTTATACATCAAACACAAAATCCTTCTCCACATTATATTAATTTATGTTATCATCATTTTTCTCCTTTGCAATATACTTGTTTGTCTTCTGTTTCTATTCCTAAAAATCCAGGTGAAGCATTATCTCATCATGAATGAAGGCAAGCAATGATTGATAAAATGTGTGCTCTTCAAAGCAGTGGTACCTGAGAACTGGTTCCTCTACCCCTTGGGAAATCTTTAGTAGGTTGTCGTTGGCTTTATACAGTGAAGGTTGGCCCCGATGGTAAGATTGATCGATTTAAAATTCGCTTGGTAGCCAAAGGATACACTCATATTTTTGGGTTGGATTATAGTGATACCTTCTCGCCTGTAGCCAAGATGACATTTGTTAGACTTCTTCTAGCCATTATAGCCATTCGACATTGGTCTCTTCACCAACTTGACATTAAAAGTGCTTTTTTACATGGGGATCTTGAAGAGGAAGTATATATGAAGCATCCACCTTGGATTGTTGCTCAGGGGGAGTCATCGAATATGGTGTGTAGGCTACACATGGGTCTTTATGGTCTTAAGAAATCTCTAAGAGCTTGGTTTGACAGATTCAGCACTGTAGTACAACTGTTTGGTATGATTCGTAGTGAAGCTGACCATTATCTTTTTTATCGTCTCTCAGCCCAATAGTGTATTTATCTTATTGTGTATGTAGATGATATTGTCATAACTAGTAGTTATCAACAGGAAATACTCTAGTTAAAACAACATCTCTTGAATCAATTTCAGACAAAAGATCTTGGTAAACTCCGTTATTTCTTGGGTATTTAGGTAACCCAATCTAAAGATGATTTGGTGATTTCTCAACGAAAATATGCTATGGACATTTTGGAAGAAACATGTTTGTTGAATGCTAAACCAGTTTGATACTCCTATGGATCCAAGTGTCAAACTACTATCCAATCAAAAGGAGCCTCTATCTGACTCAGAAAGGTATAAGAGATTGGTTGGAAATTGAATTATCTCACAGTCACTTGTCCGGACATTTCTTTTGCAGTTAGTGTGGTAAGTCAGTTCTTAAATTCCCCCCGTCATGAACACATGGATGTTGTTATTCAGATTCTGAGATACATCAAATGTGCTCCAGGAAAAAGCTAGTCTAGTGTATGAAGATAAAGGACATACTCAGATAGTTGGATACTCAGATGCTGATTGGGCGGGGTCACCCATTGATAGACGATTTACTTCTGAGTATTGTGTACTTGTTGGAGGAAACCTTATATCCTGGAAGAGTAAGAAACAAAATGTTGTTGCAAGATCAAGCTCCGAGGAAGAGTATAGGTCCGTGGCAATGGCAATATGTGAACTTATTTAGTTAAAACAGTTGCTCAAGGAACTTCAAATTGAAGAAGCAAGAGCAATGACACTTGTTTGTGATAATCAAGCTGCATTACACATTGCTTCAAATCCAATCTTTCATGAGAGGACAAAAAATATTGAGATAGACTATCACTTTGTCGGAGAGAAGCTTAAGTCAGGTAACATCTTCACAAGCTTTGTCAACTCTAGTGATCAATTGGTAGACATGTTTACAAAATCCTTGCGAAGTCCCAGAACTAATTATATATGTAAAAAACTTGGTGCATTTGACTTATATGCTCAAGTTTGAGGGGGAGTGTTGATATTTGTAAATATTGTGTTAAGAATATTTGTATATAGAATAGTCTCACATCGACTATATCATGTAATTAGTTGTAATTTCTCTCTATATATAATAATGTCTCCATAGTACTTTTCAAAATACACGATTTATTCATATGTCTATTAGTCTCTTGTATTTTAATAATAATAGATATTTTATTGGAATTCTAAAAAGACATTTATTTTGAGATATGAAAAAAAGTTCAAATTAGACACTTTTTATGAGAGGGAAGGAGTAGTAATGTTTTTAGACCATTTTCAAGATAGTTACATAGATGACTAAGATGTATTTAGAATAGTTTATTAAATTTAGTATTGTTTTTTTTAATCAAAATCAATAAAATCAAATGAATGCTTATTTTACTTGATTAGATAGTTTTCGTTAAAGTATTATTATTTTACGGTAGAATAGTTTTAGCCCCCCAACAGAAAACACTACATATATTTCTCAGTTTTACCTTCTTGTAAATATGACCTCTTTTATTTAGAATACGAGTATGTTATTTTCAATTCTATCATATATGACCTCTTTTATGAATGTTTATTTTAGTAACACGCACCTTAGAGTGCATTTAATCATTTTTTAGTTATAGCTTACTAAAACAAACTTTTATAAAAAAACAAGTAGGTGTATTATAGTAAATCTCACAGCAATTCGTTATAATACACACACTTGTATTTATGAAGGTGTGTTTTAGTAACATGTACCTTAATTAAGGTGTATTTAAAGATTTTTTAGTTAAAGCTTTCTAAAATAAACAAGTGAGTTTACGTTAGCAAACCTTATATATATAT